GGTGTGGTGCAGGGCGGGGGATGCCTGGTCGGCGGGAACCCGGCACGGAACCCTCCGGCGTTGTAGGCGGGTGTGGGAAGCGTTCCCCGTTCTCCTTTTATTTTATTTTGATCGGTCTCCTCGACGCTCTTTCTCGTTTGGTGCGGTAGCTGGTCTTTCTTTCTATCATTTTGTTTCTCTTCCGAGTGGTTTTTGTACCCTATTTTTTTCTGTTTCTTCGTGGGGTCGTGTATGCCGGGTTTTGAGACCACGGGCTCCCAATCTTTTTTTTTTAGATTAGAGCTAATGTGAGAAACAACAACAACAACAACAGAAGGGCCCCTCTCTACCCTGCCCTCCTGCGGCACTTTGCCTCCGATTTTTAATGCGAGAAGAGTTTAGCACTCTCTTCCCTATGTGTACACACGAACTAGCACTATCCACTAGGCCAGGAGCGGAAGCGAGAGGAAAACTCACTTTGCAAGAAAAGCTCGCTTACACCGCCGGGATTCGAACCCCTGAGCTGACCTCTTCTAGAAGGTCTCGAGAGGAAAACCCACTTTGCAAGAAAAGCTTGCTTACGCCGCCGGGATTCGAACCCCTGAGCTGACCTCTAGAAGGTCTTGAGGTCAGGGTGGGTCCTACGTAATTTTTTTGGACTCGAACATCGAACATCGAACAAGCGGCGTAATCATGTGATTGGCCATGAAGGTCCAACACTGTTACAGCCCAAAAGATGTTGGGGTTTTCAAGATTTTTTTTATTTTATTTTGTACGCCGGATCTTCCAGGGACGATTCCGCCTAAAACTCTAACATCTTTCCACAAAAACTCGAAAACATTACCTAACCTATAGTCCCGTGGACTACTGGGACCGAATTGGCGACAAAAAAGAAAACCCGCACGCATGCATCACGCACGTGCACCCAACACACACAATGCCTGGTCGGCGGGAACCCGGCACGGAACCCTCCGGCGTTGTAGGCGGGTGTGGGAAGCGTTCCCCGTTCTCCTTTTATTTTATTTTGATCGGTCTCCTCGACGCTCTTTCTCGTTTGGTGCGGTAGCTGGTCTTTCTTTCTATCATTTTGTTTC